CAGCGTAGGTCCAGCACTGCAGCATTTGGTCCTTGCTGACGCCATTCCCGTAATTTTTGCGAACAAACATCTGCATTGGCAGCGTACACGTCAATGTACTCATTGAGTTCCCGATAGTCCATAACGGGCCGAACCTTCTGTTTGTTTTCCTGCAGAATGGCCATGAGGGGGATTAAACCCTTTGGGGGTCAGAGTTCCTCCTCCGGGTAAGGAAGCAGCCAGCCGTTATCTATCCACATCTGGAGTTCCCGATCATACTCCTCCCAAATTTGTGCGGGAGCTGGATATTCTGCCAGTCTATTTCTTAACGTACCTGGAGGTTGGTTGCCAGCCCATTTCCAAGATGCGGTCCACCTTCGAGTGGTCTCATCATATTCTACTTTAAAGTCAGGCTCGGTAATGATAATGGCTGCGGAAACTTCACCTCACCGGCGCTAGTTACAGATATTCCTCCCAACTGTTTGATGGTGTCTAGTCCGAGCAGCAAGTCGAATCCAAGCAGGTCTCTATCCACGACTAGGACTTCCATAGCGATGGACGGCACTAATGCTAACTTGTACCACTCCGATTCCACAGCAGTTCTACTGTAAGCATGCCTGTTGATTTTCTTGTCCATGCTCAACAGCATGACTTGCGGACTAGTGACTGTGTGCATCCTGTATCCATCAGAGCTGTACGTGGTATTCCATTGATACGAACTGTCACTACAGGCAATGCGCCATTTACAAGGGTTTTGGAGATGAGATTGACGCTGAATTCTTGCCCCCTTGCTTGTTTCCCGGACAACACCGAGCAATGTGACATTGATAGCAAGTGATGGTCCATCGGTGCTTGGTACCAGCACCTTTAGATGGTTCACGACCCAGGAGACAATTGCTCACCCTATGATTGGGTTCATCACATTTATAGCACCTTGTGTGCACATGTTTCCTTCAACTGTGCAGCCACTGCGGCCTGCTCTGTAGAACCAGTGCACTTCAAGATAGGGCGAGCTTGTGCCAGCACATGTGACAAATCCAGGTCTTCCATCTGGGATGACGCTCTTAAAAGCTCCTCTGCATGCTCAGGCAATCCAGCAACAAATGCACACTGCAAACACTTTTCTGATACGCCACCAAACAGAACCGCGAGTCTGTGCAGTTCTGCCAAAAAGACGTCGACCGTCTCCCCTGGCTGAAGGTGACGTGCTGCAAACTGCTTCCACACTGAGAAGGGGTCTAAGGCAAAAGCTGTGTATAACGCTTTCTTAATGCAATGGAAGTCTGCACGCTTCTTCTCACTCAATTGCTGGTACACAGCATATGCTCCACCTGCCAAAAGCATCGGGATAACACACTCAATTCGCTTCGCACCGCTCAACTTACATATTAGTTCCACCTTCTCCAACCATTCCACTACCGATTGTCCAGAATTGTTTTTGTCGAACAGTGGTATCAGCTTTGGGTCGAAGGCCATAATGCCGAAATAGCTTGTATGAAAAAATGGGGGGGGGACTCCTTCTTGTGAACAAACACTTTACGACAACAAACGGCACACACAACTGCTGCCGACAAATGGACGACTGACAGCAACGGCTTTTGTTGCCCAAAAAAAGACGCCAAACAACTTGCGCGTCTTCTTCTTGTAGTGCTCTGCTGAGTCCATTCTGCGCATACTTGTTACAAATAGTTTCAAATTTACAGTTAAAAACATGTTAATTTTGATTACTTGTATGTATTTTATCTTTTCTTTAGATCATTTGGGATGGGAATTTATTTTCTCTATAGTAGTAATGGATGTTAAAAAATATCACATTGTGTGACTAGAAAATGGATGAGCTATGGAAAAAAATTAATATTCTGCCTTTCTCCATTATGGGTATTATTATATCCATGAAATAATAACTTCTTAATACAGGAATGGAACAGAATAGCTGACAGCAAAGGAATGACAAACATGCTTTGTTCTCAGTTTTATAATGCAAAGTCATACACAAAATTATGTGTCTATGAAAGAAACTATAACATATGTATACACAAACAGTGCAAAAAGGGATTTAAAAGATAGTCTTTGTCATAGTTCTTAATGGGAATTGGAGCTACTGAAGATTCTTGTGTTCGTGGAGAATCAATATTTAGGATACCATATTTGAGTGGGCCGAGTTTATCTTCTATGTCACAAGCAAGGACATATTCCACTCAGACAGGAAAACCACTGGACCTGTCTTAGATTGTTTTCTACTAGCTAAAATAGTTGCATAATTCCACTAATGCTATGTGATGGTATTTTGGATCAAAATTTAAAATTCACTTGCAAGACAGGCATTTATCATTTGGAAAGATAATTGGTGATCAGCTTATCTTTTTATACTTCTGATCTGTAAAGCTTGTAACCCTTTTTAATTTCTCACAGTTTATATCTTGTAATTATCATTAGTGATTATTTGAGAGAATGAAATGAACTTTCTTGATTAAGTGTTACTGGAAATTAATGAACATTGCTACCAAACAATGTTTGTTCTTTCAATTACACCTGTCACTCTCAATGTTGTCTGCCAAGTTGAGTCTTCCTTATTTCAGGATGTTCATGTTTGTGGCTTTTATTACTTCTGACACTCCAATTTCAGGCAAGTTATATTCACTTCAGCTCTTCACCAACAAAAATCACTAAACTTTGCAAATATTTTTTAAATAAATTTTTAACTTAAGACTTTCACCCCCAAATTAAATATAGACTGTTCAGTCTTCTATTAGATTATGGCCTAGTGGATAAAAAGCATCATTTTTTTGAATTTTGTGGCATAGTAGTTGCAAGTTCAATCTGTGGGTTGGGCAGTATGTACTTGCACTCAGTGGAAACGAGTGAACAATAACTAAACAGTACTAAATAAGAACTAGACAAGGTATCCCTAGACATGAGCAGCAGAACATGAACAGTCTACTCCCATAGATTAAATAAAGGGTTTAGTTCAGAATTCCCTGTAGGTTATTTAGATTGATATACACCTGATGAAGTCCAGAGGGTAGAATGGCCAAAATATTGTGATAACAACAACAAAGATAAGGACAAGTGTCCATGTAAATGATGACCCCTCATTTCAGAAATTTAGACATTCATTATCTTAAATGAAAATTATGTGTAGAATGAAGATGAAAATAAACGCCAAGACAGTCAAACACCAAATGAAGAAAAAATGAGTCTGAGGATTGTGCATTGTTCTGCTTAATAAATTAATGCTTTGAAAATAAATATGGGGCACATTCCCACCAACAATAAAAAATGCTTCTTACTCCCTTTGAAGGGTATTTAAGCAAAGTTTCTAGATGGACAAACTAGGAAGAAGTGGCAGACAGCAGCAGCAGCTCATGATGCTCAGCTTAAAAGAAATTCCCTTATTCATTGATCTGTCTTCCTCACCAAGCTATATGGCATTTACACTTTTCTCTTTGCCTCTTCTTTCTCATGCATACATGTGAAGAAATCATGTTTCTTTGCATCTTAGTAAACAGACTGTAAGAACTTTAATTTCTTTTATTTTTTTTTTAATCCTGTGACCCATCAGGGTCATAGGGGCACCACATGTACTGCAGCTGCAGTAGAAGGGTACTTGGGTTTCTTTGGTAACAGACTGATAAAGCCCAATCTTATCCAGGTGGGTTTTTTTCCTCAGTAGGAACAGTTAATTAGTAAGGTTAAATGAATGTGGCATAAGGCCAGAAAGTGTTGAACTCCCTTTTAATCTTTTCCAAATAGACTAAGTAGATCTGACTCTAGCCAAACATACATAAATTTAGTGTTGATAGAAAAAAACCCAAACCCAAATATTCCTGCTTCTCCCATATAATCAGTTTAGTATCTTATAATATATATGGCATATTACCTATTTTTTTTTTTTTGTTTTGTTTTGTTTTTTTATTTCTGTATCATTTCACCCCAAGCAAGGTGACAGTGCCACAAAATACACGATGTTACTGGGAGTAAAAGTCAATGAGAAGATTGAAAATAGGGAGGATTGAGGTGTTAACATTAAAATTCTGTCCATCGACTATACTTATTTACAGTAAGTAAATATGTGAGTCAAACATTTCTAACTCACCTACATTATAAGTCAAGAGTTTGAGGCTATTCTCTGAGTTTCAAAGAATTGTCTAGAAATTGAAGGTTGCATACCTTTTCAGAACTAATTTACTAGCTCACTTTGGGCCAAAGAGACTTTCTATTACAGAATGGTTTTATCAAAATTAACTCATTATGACATTGTTACCTCATTTTTTTTGCTTTTTGCCTAATCTATGTTGCTGGCTAATGGTAAATTTAGGGCTGGCAAATTTTAGGTAACTGCTCTCTAATAAATTGGATACTATGCACAACTGGGTGTAAATGACTATTTTCACCAAGCAAATTGTTAGTCTTGCCAATGTTAAATTTGAATTTCTTGCTTGCATATCCTTCTATGGCAACACCTAAAACCATTTTGACTGAAATTGAGAGCCAGGCTACTGCAATTTCAAATATATAGAACTAATATATAAAACATATTTTGAAGGGATTCCACATACAGTTAAAGGGGAGTAATATTTATAAATGATGCAGAATGCTAAATATTAATTAGACCAAAGGAGGGATGAAACTTACTGCTTATTGAATCCAGGAAGTGTCCCCCAAACATTTGGCCTATAGTGCATATAATATCTTGTGATTTGATCACAGCTCCAAAAAATTTATTCTCAAATCCTGGATACCTGATTGATTTGGAAATGGAAAGCAATAAAAAGATAAATACTAATTTTAATAATCTAATTAAAATAGTCTATTTTGAACAGTTTGATCTTCTTAGTTTCCTTTTGAGAGAATGAAGCTTTGCTCGCCATCATTTCCATTATCTTAGAATTATTTTGTTTTTGCAATTGTTTAATAAATTACTTGGTCTCATCATTTTACAGTTGAAACAGCTAGAGGTAACTGTAAGTTCTTTGCTAACAGTCTCTTCTCTTACACTTTTTGAGCCTTACAGCTACATCATGTTGAAATACCAGTTCCTGTACAATTTCTGAAGTTAAGCAATGGCAAGCCTGGTCAGTACCTAGATGAGTAATCGCTTGGGAATACCAGGTGCTGTAAGCTTGGATGTGCAGGTGGTGTAATGGATAACTGCTTGAATCCACTTCTCCCTTCCGCCTCTGGGTTAACTAATAATACTTGTATCACTAAACCATTAAAAAAAATTCTTACATCTAAAAATATTTTCTGGCTTTAAATAGCCTGCAAAGTGTTACAAGATAGAAAAAGGATCGATTGATCAATCGATCAACCTTTTTTTCTTGTGGAACTCTTGGCTGGCCTCATGCATTTTCAAAAATGGAAATGCAATGTCAGTTTTTTATCTTCTGTCTTTTTAATTCCTGTTCTTTTTGCTGTTCTCTGTCCTTAATGTTTTTCTTTTTCCATAATTTTTTACTCTCAGTAACACCTTGCATCTTAGTGGTTTTACTGCCTTGCTTGGTGTGAAATGATTAAAAAAAAATATTTATGAAGAGAAACTTCTGTAAAACTTGAAGATGCTTAAATGGCTTCATTGCCCTATGAAAAGATCTTGATTTAAGCTTTGCTTTATACAATCCAAAACCAAATTATGAACAAATTTTCTTTATCATTATCTTAAGAATTTTCTTTTCTCTCCTTACAGTTGGAATACGTCTCGCAGTTGGTGAGTATCACCATTTTTTTTTTTTTTTTTTTTTTTCTCCATATTTTCTCCATATTTTTTGTAGAGGCAGAATTCTGTTTTTTAACTCCTAATTGTTTTGAGAAATATTATCATTTTAATACTTAGAAATGTTTCTATTAAATTTTTTCTTTACTTTTTTTTTTTTCTTTTTAATATATTTTAGCATGTAATGGTTAACAAGCTAGTGTCACAGACTCTTACTAGTGTTGATAGAGCACCCAGTGAAGATCAAGTTAGGCTTAGTTACTGAAAATAATGAAGATATGTTTGAAATTTTTGTTTATCTGCAGACTACCAATGAAGTTTGCTTGAAAATGCATAAATAAAATCACTCTTACACTGTATCAAAATTGTATTATTTAGTATATTGGAACACACACTCACTGTCAAGTCACCAATTTATAGAATTTATAGTATCATTTACAAGTAAGGGGAAATTACTCTGTAATTAACCAAACTCTAACTACATATAAAAGTCAATATTACTTGTACTATTAATCCTAAATCAACAAGAGTTTAATGATAACATTTTTTTCAAAATATATGATTACAATTTAGATATAAAATTATGATGCTATATTAGATATAGAAAAGTAATTTAATAAACTGAGTATCCCCACTGCCAGAGTTGGCAAGGTGTAGTGAAATTAGTGATGTGAAAGATCTTGGAAGGAAAAAAGACTATTTAGATGGTAAGGAACAAGTGGTAAACTCTTCCAGGCAACCAATCCCAGATTTACATATGTGCTAGTATGGGCTGTGGTGCAGGGGCCCCAAATTGGTCCCCTTTTAAAACTAAAAAGAAAAAAAAAAAAGGATAAGTACAAAGGAGATTTATTTTCAGAGTATTTGAGGCTCTAGTTGGAGTGGGTATTTTAAATTCAATGGGCTCCTTGAAGGTGCCCCATTAACATTTTGATGCATATTATTATATAGACATATAGATTTTTGATGTAGCCTTTTTAGTTTTGCATAATTTTGTTGACTTTGCTCAATTTTTGCTCAATTTTACACTTCATCGAACACAGACATAATATTTGCAAAATTGCCTGATATTGTACAAATTGGGCAAAACAGTGCAAAACAAGGTAAAAAAAATTTAAAAACGGAAAATTGTGCAATTTTGAAAACATCATCTAAAAATCTTTTCTTAGAGACATTGGTGGAGGAGAGTGTGAACATATGTAATGAAGGGGCTTGCAAATTCTATTAGCCCAGGTGTCTTTTAAGGTCTAAATCTGACCCTGCAGGTGACACATCTTAAAAAAATGTGCATACTGCTGGGCACTTTTTTTTTTTTTTTTTTTTTTTTTTTTTTCATGTAATTAAATAATGAAAATAAAAAAGTGACAACATAATGGTGAAGTTAATTTGTGAAAAGAAAGGAAAAAAAGTAATAATGAAAGTGAAAAAAACAGTGAAGGATTAAAAATGAACTGAAAAAGTAAAAAAAAAAAAAAGAAAGCAAATCAGAATATAAAATCAGCCTGAAAAGAAATGGGCTTCATCAGGTTATCTTCCACTGCCACCCCTCCTTAGACACACCCCTGCTTCTATGGATGTAGGAATCTGTGTCACTGCAACTCCTTATAGGTTATGAGACACATGAGATGACAAAATTAAGATTTAGTCTGGTAAATAAAATTGTCTTGTATAGCAATTTCTATTGGTAACTAGTGATAAAAAAAAATAGTTGATATTATGTAAAGGTTCAAATATCGAAGATAGTGTGACTATTAACTTATCAGAGGTATTTAAATTTTATTTAATACTTAAAATGTTTTTTTAAATGGTAATACTATCCAGAGTGGATGTATTTGACTGACTAAGCTGGAACTGATTCTCTTCAGTTTCAAATGTAATTACAAAGTGATTAACACTTGCTTCTGTTTTTCAAAATCATTTACATGTTTGAGCAGAACTTTTTTTTCTCTTTAAACGTTTTAAATACAATTTTAACTGCTTATTTTTTGTTTTTGTTGATTTTTGTGGTGTTTTTTATTTTTGTGTGTGTATTTTTTTTTTGTTTTTTACATTTTTACAAGATATCAAAAATCAATTTGAAATTGGTAAAATTTTCTGTTTTTGTGTTTGTGCACATTCTTCAGTGCCAACAACTGATGAAAGAAAAAAGTTTAAGAAACTAATGAGAAATAATTAACATTTTCTCCTAAATAAACAAAACCTGAGAAAATTTACATAATTTGGAAATATTTTAAGTTTAAGAGGAAACCAAGTCAATAACATCTACAGAAATCTCATATATATATATATATATATATATATATATAATAGGAATCTGGGTGGTGCATTGGATTACAGCTTGGAATGAGTAATTGGTGAGCAGAGTTCAAATTCAAGTCAAGTTCATTACATTAACTTATGAGCAATATCCTTGAAGAGAACCCATCATTGTCTCCACCGCCAGCTATATTTTAAATAGTAGGGTAGACTGGGCTCTTTAGTCTTGATTGGAAACTAGTCTACATGAAGGACAAGTCTGAATTCAAAACCTGAAGAGGGTCATTTGGAGATCTTGTAGCACACTGTGCACCCATTCTCTGTATTCAGTTCTTTTGAAAAGTTTACTTGGTTCGGCACAAGCTTCACCACTATAATCAGGTCATATGTTCAGATAGTCTGACTGTTCAGTTCTAAGAACCAAGCTGTTGAACTTTTGTACAGCAAAAACAAAGGGAGTCTCTCTCATGACTTGATGAACCAAGAAAAATATATTTTCTGGGGAAATAAATAGTCATGGAACCTTAAGGTTGTCTCTTTCTTAATTATTTTATATATATATATATATATATGAGAGAGAGAAGATTGTGTTGTTCAATCTTCTAACCGGAAAGGGTTTTTCTTGTCTTGAAAGTCAATATTCAAAGTTTTATTTTATATTAAATATATATATATATATATATATATATATAATATAAACTGCAATGGAATTTTGTATATTTATAGGCCATGCAGCCTGATCTCCTCTTCTTACTAAAAATATATTTCATTATTATGGTAGCAGACATGTTACCATAACATATTTCCTGGATAAGATTTTTATTTTTTATGCTAGTTTATTTATACTTTTAATGAGTTTAAAAAAAAAAACAAAAAAAAATCTTCCCTGTGATAATTGTTAATTAAATAGATAAAAATCTCATGCAAGAAATCTTAACACTTCAAAATGACTTGAATATTGCAATCATTTTGTTCCTTTTATTTTTCGTATTTTATTCATATTTTTTTAAGCAGTACATGTAAACTTGTGTACAATAATGAATAATGATTTGGTTGTTTCTTTGTTCCTCTGTCCATTTATTTTGCCCTATTGAAGCACATAAACACATATATTCTTTTCTCCTGCTCTCTTTCTCTTTTTAGGGCTAGTTTACTAGTATATAAAGATTTAAATGCTCCCCATAACTCTCTCAATGATAAACATTTGGCTTCAGAAAGTTCTGTATTGCACAAAACCAGATGGCAGTAGGAAGAATATGTTGTGATGATTATTCAAGTTCCTGTCTTGAAAAGCCTCCTTATATTTTTTTTATTGAAACTCTGTGGTGGTGGTGGGTGGGTGTAAGTAAAGAGAAATAGACACCACTATATACCCCCCCCCACCAAGCAAGCCACCCCCTTCCTGGATTTGTAGCTTCTATCCAGAAGATCAAGAAATGTGGCCATGAAAAACAAATGACTTGCTCTAACATGGCCTTTTGAAGTTGTCCCTTTGGGCATTTATACAATGATCTCATAAAGTGGTCTGCATTAGATTTGGTTTTTGTACATTGTCCAGATTCCCAAATTTTCCGCAGCTAGGCATATATAATGTCAGAACTTTCCTATTGATTATGGCAAATGAAGTCCTTAGAACAAAACCATCAGACACATAACACATGTGTGTATATATATATATATATATATATATATATATATATATATATATATATATATATATATATATATATGCACACACGGAGGATATTTGCAGTGATTTTATAACATATTTATGTTATAATTTTTAAATAAATAATTTTTATATATATAATGTATGTCATCCACAGACAGTTTAGCTGTATCACAGCTCATCAGTGTGGCTAGATGTCCAGTTGCCCCTAGATAGGATTGAAACCTGACTGAATTGGCATCAGTCGGAGATTCTACCACTAATCCATTGGCGCACAGCAGGGATAAAGGTGAATTTAAGCGTATTTATTTTTAGATAAACACACAGTGACTGAGAGAACTCAATTCGATTTAATGAAGAGTCTTGCATTATTAGCCGTAATAATCACTGTTTACAAACTCGCACTTCCTCCCCAAATTTTTCAAGAGCATATATATATATATAACAACTACTTTGGGTACATGGCAGCAGCCCCAATAAACTA